GGTAACAGAGTAGAACTGCCGCACAGGATTTCTTTGACTGTAATTTTTATGGAAACAGATCACTTCTGAACAATAAGGTCACTGTAGGTTCAAACAATGAACCTTTCAGTCAGTAGCTGAAAGCTTAATTATCTGTGCCACCAGGGTTTATAATTCATTCGTAGAGAGCTGCAAAAGTATTCTTCAAATGTAAATTGGATACTACTCCTGTCTAAAATAGCCTGACTCTCTACCTGGGGCTGGCTTCCACACCACTGTCCCCCTTGCTCACCATGCTGCGTTCACACAGGTCAGCTTTCAGGTCTTCCAATTTGTGCAAAGCTTTCCTGCCCCGTGGGCGTTGGCACATAGTGTTCCTATTTCCCCACTCTTTATCTTTCAGGTTTCAAGCAAATTATATTTAATGTAGCCCACTCCCCCTACCCCTTTATTCTATATCTCACTCCCTGTTCATTTCCATCATAATTTCTAACAATTTGTTTTGTTTTTTTTAAAAAAATGTCTTATGTCTTCCCCTGTTACAACATAAACTCCATGGGACAGGGACTACAAAGGAGGCATGAAAGAAAGGTAGAAGGAAGTGATCTTATTGGAAATGTCTGAGAAGTGTGAACTGTAAGATCCATCCTCCTAACCAACACCTATCACTACCAACTGACCTCCAGAAGGAGCACTGTCGTCATTTGGAAAAGAACAAAAAGACAAAGTATCACTGGTAAGTTACATTAATTCCAACTAAAAGGGAGAATGTGCCAGTCTCCCTTACATAGCAACAGAAACACGCAAAGTCCTCTGATGTAGCACCATGTCTCCATCAAGACACACTGCTCCCAAAGAAGCCTGCTTGGTGGTCTCTTTGCCAGGCAGCCAATTCTGAAGACTGATGCTGAGTGACTAACTTATAAATAAATACCCAAGTGGGGGAAGACCTCACAACTGGCACCAAAAGGTGGTGGATGGCTTCTTCCGTGGCTGTCCTTCACCTTAACCCACCATGCATGAAAATGGGTGAGTCAGACCCATCAAGACTGATGAAACAAATGTGTTTTGTTCAAAAGACTCAATATTTGTTAGGGAGGGATTTGGGTTAGGACTGATGACAGCAGAAATACTTCCTCAGGGCATCTTCCCATGGGATTTCTTTCTCAATGAGAATCTCAGAGGACCCTTTATTAGGTGCTTGTGAGTATATGGATTTTGAAGCAGTCATCTCTAAAAATCCAGTCACTTCCCACTTTAAAATTAGGCTCTAATTGTAGATGAGCTCCAGGCAACAACTGGATTCGTTGAGACACCTTGTTAGAACATTAGTTAAGTATGTAGGTGTTTTCATGTTTTATATAAGGGACTATCCTAAGGGTCTATTATAAAAGTTGACCTGTTTGGGGTGATAAAAAACTTTAGAGACCACTAATGTTGACAGATGTGAATGAGAGTGATACCACTGAGTTAAAATTTTTTTAAAATGTTAAAATAGCAAATTTTATTATATATATCTTACTACAAAGTGAAAAAAACAAACCCACTACCATCTCATTGATTCCAACTCATAGCAACACTACATAGGGCTGCTGAGAATATAAATAACTACAGGAACAGACAGCCTATGTTAGTCTGGGTTGACTACAGAAACAAATTCAGACACTCATATGTGTTGAAGAAAGAGCTTTATATACAAGAGCAGTTGAATATTGAGAAAACATCCCAGCCCAGTCCAGATCAAGCCCTTAAGTCTGATGTTAGCCCATATATCCAATACCAATTTATAAAGTCCTCTTCAGACTCACAAAGCACATGCAACCACACCTAATGTAGGAAGACCACAGGCCAGTGGGTGGGAAGTCTTATGGATCCAGTGGCACTGTAAACATCTCAGCACAGATACGGGTCTCCACGCTCCAGAGGTCTGGCTCCATCAGCCTCTCTCCATGTGTCTTCTCCACAGGGATGTCTCACAGGGAGTGAACCATGATAGAGAGTGCCTCCCATCTCCAAGGAGGAATACCGGAGTTCCCAGAATCCTCAGAAGGCCATGCCCACACAAAAGCCTCATTGGCTATCACCAGATTGACAGGCTACACTCCATCCCTTCACTCTTAATCCTCCCAAATTGACAAATGATTAGATAACCACCACACAGCCTCATCTTTTTCCTGTGAAGTGGCTGGTGGGTTTCAACCATTAACCTTTCCATTAGCAGCCCAACACCTGGCCCGTGATACCACTGTTCTTAAAATATTTAAATAACATCTGTAAGAACCCAATTTACCAAACCACTTATTTCTTTGATACTTCTACCTTAAGAATTTTAAAGCATAGTCCTAGAATTTAGTGGCTACGAAAATAAGAACAGCCCCATGTCCATCGCACAGGGAGAAATAAACACAACAACAGGTTCTGCAGCTCCAGAGCCCCAAACAAAGCAACCTTATGGTACTCATGCAGGCCGACCAAATCATCCAAGGCACAGAGCACAGATTACAAAACAGAAGAGAGTATTTGTGATCAGAGTAAGCAGAGTTTCTCTGAACTGGGAACTAGACAGACACTACGTATAACAGGGGGCCGAACAACAGAAAAGTGGGTGAAGGAGACAGCGGTTGGTGTAAGACACGAAAAAATAATAATTTATAAATGATCAAGGGTTCATGGAGGGCAGGGGTGGGAATGAGCTGATATCAAGGGCTCAAGTATAAAGAAAATGTTTGGAAATGATGACGGCAACATACATATAAATGTTCTTGACACAATGGATGGATGGATGGATGGATTGTGATAAGAGCTGTAAGAGCCCCCAATAAAATGATTAAAAAACAGAAATCCATTACATCCCCAATAGTAATCAATACTGCATGACATATCAGAAAATGTTTTGATTATTCATGCCCATAATCAATAAAACACAAAAGATGAGACTCTGAAGTGCAAAATTTTGAAGCCCTTAAAATAGTACAACCTTTTGAAAATTAAAAAAGATGGAAATTTATCTATGTAATAATTTTAAAAAATTATTACAAAAAAAGCTCATACAGCTCTTATCACAATCCATACATGCATCCATTGTGTCAAGCACATTTGTACATTTATTGCCATTATTATTCTCAAAACATT